AGAGACACACACACACACACACACACACACACACACACACACACACACACACACACACACACACACACACGCACACATACACACACACAATGTCCAGCCTCTTCCTTTTCTTCGCTCATTGGCGATGGGCGGTGGTGGATGCAGACGGGCGATCCTACGGCGCCGGAGGAGCTGCGTGCCGAATCGGGGCTGGTCACTGTGGGGCTGCTGCGGGCGTGCGGCATCGAGGAGCTGGTGCGACGGTACAAGGTGGTCGTCACGCGCCACCCCTCTCTGCCCCACCTCGTCCACCTCTACTCCGACGTACGTCGCTGTCCCCTCCCCCATTGCTGATGGTTGATGACGTCACCCTCATACCACACACACAACACAACACACGGTAGTTCTTTACGCCGATGCCCGAGTCGCGGGTGTGCCGCGAGTGCACGGGTCTGATCGTCGACGAGGCCGCCAACTGGGCGCCCGTCTGCGTGCCTCCGCCGCAGATCGTCGAGCTCGCGCTCACCCCCGAAGAAGGTCCCCCCATTCGGCCGCTGTTCGCCCCCCTCCCTCCCGCGGGCCTGACCTGGGCTCGTTCGTGGCACAGACCCCGGGTTCGATTGGACCGACTTCCGCGTGCAGGAGAAGGTGGACGGCACCGGTGTGAGTCTTTACCACTACGCCGGCGAATGGCGCCTCTCCACCCGATGTACGCCTGTCACTTTGGCACACACGCGACACAGACACACGACACACGACACACACGAAAGAGACTCACACGTGTGTGCAGTTGAGGTGGGCAGCCCACGGTGATGATGGGCTTCAAGCGGGAGGAGAGCCAGATCGAGCTGCACGCGCTCTTTTGGTCCATCTGGCGCGAGCGCGGCTACAGCCTGCCCCAACAGGGCAGCACCGGCCTGTGCTACCACTTCCAGCTGGCCTCGCGGGAGCACCGGCACCAGGTCAAGTACGGCCGCAACGAGCTGTACCTGGTCGCCTGCTTCGACGTGGTTCGCGGCGTCGAGGTCGCGCCCGAGGCCGTCGCTGCCGACAACGGGTGGGCCAGCGTGCGGACCTTCCCCGAGCTGCGCACCAAGGCCGACGTCCTGCAGGCCGCCCGCACGCTCAACCCCTTCCGACTCAAAGGTGCGCGCCAACGCCGACCAGCCGTCTTGCGCAGAGTTCGAAGTTAAAAGTCTCGATGTGGTGCTGGTGGACAGGGTTCGTGGTGTGCGATCAGGCGTTCAACCGCAGGAAAGTCAAGTCGGCCGAGTTCGTGGGCGCCACCGCGCTCACCGACTACGTCGGGGTTCGTCGCCCCCCCCCCCAAAGGACAATCGTGTGTCGTGTGTGTATGTGTGTAGCTCAACTCGTTCTTCTTTATCTCTGGACTCAGCCGCCGGACCTGAGCGTGGCCGACCACATCAACAACAAGCAGCTGCACGAGATCATGCGCACCGGCCGCCTCGACGAGCTCCTCCACTACCACCCGCAGCTCGTCCCTCGTCTCGCCCGCGGCCTTTATCACAACCAAGACGACACCGACGCCGACGCCGAAGCTCAAACCGAAGCCGGCGAACTCAATGGTGCCGAAAGCGAAGGCG